AGGGAGTCAAGCTATCCTCCAAAGCGCCTGAAGAAGGCAGGACAAGAAGCAACGGATGGAAACTCATCAAGGAGAGAAGCAACCTAGAACTTAGGAGGAATTTCCTGACAGTGAGAACAATTAATCGGTAGAATGGCTTGCCACCAGAAGTTGTGGGTGCTCCAACACTGGGGGGTTTTAAGAAGAGATTAGGCAACCATTTGCCTGAAATGATATAGGGTGTCCTGCTTGAGCAGGGGGTTGGACTAGATGACCTCCAAGGTCCCTTCCAACTCAGTTATTCTGTTGTTTTATTATTTTGCGATTCCACCTTGTTCCAGTTCAACAAGAAGGAGGCTGTGGTCTACTTGATCAAATGCCTCATGAAGTCCATGTACATCCCATCCACAGCATTGCCTTGGTCCACTAACTTAATCCCACTGTCAAAAAGAAGCTGTAAAATTTGTCTGGCACGACCTTTTTAAAACAAATCATGTTGGTTTTGCAAATTTCACTGTTCATGTTTATTTTCTTTGCCCTGCAAAGATTTCAGTCAATGGCCCTGCCAGTTCTCGAACACTTTGGGGTGTGAGCCCCCTGACCCAGGAGCCCTGCATTCATTCAAGGACACTAGGCGCCCTCTGACCATTCCTTACCTGGTTTGATCTGTGTTTCTCTAGCTATGTATGATCTTCTGCACTGCCACAGCTTCGCATCTCCCAGGGCTTGCAAAGAACCGGGTGGAACAGGACCTGGTCTTTTGTGGTGGTCCTTTCGCCGGTCAATTTGTGGAGTTGGCTTGGATGTCTTTGGAAAGGACAAGAACGGCTGGGCAGGCAAGGGAGACAGCTTGATGGCCAACTTCAGAGGTTGGTCACAAGTCTCTCCGGCCAGCTCAGAGACATCTCGGTGCAAGCGAACCGGCCACCACGCTGTCCTTGCCAGGGGAGCCTGCAGCTTCACAGCTTGGCAGCTCTTTCAGGGCCACCTGGAGCAGCATTTGGCCAAAGGCTTCGAGAGACGCTGGCACGCCCTGCTGGCACCAAAGTCTCTTTCTAGGAGTTGTGGTCCCCCTCCTTTGCTTCTACCTTGCTTAGAAGAGCAGGAAATAAATCTCTCCAGCGCTGAGCCCAAGAGGCAGGTGGGGACGGTCCCTCTGGCCGAGAGCTCAGCCATGGGGCCAGCTCCCCAAGGAAGCCTCTTGGGCCGCTGGGCTGGCAAGACCAGAGGGAGGGTGCGGCTGCTTGGCCCCCATCCTTTCTGTGCTGGTCAGAGTAAATAGCTATCTTAGGAATTAAGGGCTGTCCCCTTAAGGGATAGCCTTCTGGGTAATGTAGTTTACTTGGTCATATCTATGTTCGGATTGGCCACTGAGAGGGACTTCTGATTAGTTACTGGATTTGCTGGCTGTGCAGTCCAGCGGGGTCTTTGTGAATTCCAGCCACCAGGACTTTTTGCTCCTCAAACATGGAAGAAACTAACTCTTTTTAACCTACGTGTTGGGTCCAGATTATGATATGTATTTCAGAAGAATCCCTACAGTAACTCTAAATCAATGTTAGAGAATGCCTGATGAATTAAAGTAATCTGCATGAAACCTTTCCGTGGATTTAATCTGCCTGCATCAAGCAATATTCAGCAGCAGCCCCCCTTGCTTGATCCAGAACACTTTCCCCGGCAGCGTCTGTTGGGCATGGGCCTGTTGTCCCCACTGGGGGGCTTCTCTGTCTTCCTGACAGTGAGAACAATTAACCAGTGGAACCGCCTGCCTCCAGAAGTTGTGAATGCTCCAACACTGGAAGTTCTTAAGAAGAGACTGGACAGCCATTTGTCCGAAATGGTATAGGGCAGGGGTAGGCAACCTTGGCTCTTTTATGACTCGTGGACTTCAACTCCCAGAATTCCTCAGCCAGCATTATTATTATTATTAACCCCGTTCTTGGCTGCATCATCCCCATCTCTGAAGACCCACCCAGGAGTTAGCACGCTTTATACCCCTTGGAGCAAATTGAAGTGGTCTACCAAATGTCAGATGCCTAATGCTGTAAAAGCAGTACGAGAAAACAGCCTTAAGGGGTCCCTTGAAAGGGGTGGGGGAGCCCCCCCAAAGACCCACTGCCCCCCCCATCCAGAAGGGAGCCAGGCGGCCTCCAAGGATCGACCTCTTCAGTCTTCCTGTTATTCCAGACAAAGTCAAATAAGGAAACTCAGAAAACATTTGTGCAATGGCAAGGCTTGATTACATAGGTAGTCTCGACTTACAACAGTCCATTTAGTGACCGTTCAGAGTGACGTATGACTGTTTTTCACCCTTAACGACCGTTGCAGCATCTCCGTGGTCCCGCGAGCAAAATTCGGACGCTGGGCAACTGAATCCTATTTACGACGGTCGCAGGGTCCCGGGGGAGTCACGTGATCCCCTTTTGCGATCTTCTGACAAGCAAAGTCAAGGGGGGGGGGGAACGCCGGATTCATTTTACAGCCATGTTACTAACCGAACAACTGCAGCGATTCATTTAACGACCGGGGCAGGAAAGGTCACAAAATGGAACAAAACTCACTTCGCAACTGTCTCCTTGGCAACATAAATTTTGGGCTCAATTGTAATTTAAGTTACAATCAGGGGTCCTCAACCTTGGCCACTTTAAGACATGTGGACTTCAACTCCCAGAATTCCTCAGCCAGCAAAGCTGGCTGAGGAATTCTGGGAGTTGAAGTCCACAAGTCTTAAAGTGGCCAAGGGTGGGGACCCCTGCTCTAAAATTCTGGGAGTTGAAGTCCACAAGCCTTAAAGTGGCCAAGGTTGAGGACCCCTGCTCTAAATAATAAAATAATGACTACTTCAAGAGGTGCCGTATTAACTCCGGCTGGCACTCTGCCAATCTGAGCGTCCGAATGATGCTCTTCGTTGCTCTTCTCTGCGCTCCTTCCAGGGTCTCAACATCCTTTTTGTACCAAAGAGACCAGCGTTAGGATGCGATATTCCAAGCGTGGCCTCGCCAAGGCAGGGTAAAGCAGTCCCACCACTTCCTGTGATCTTGAAACGGGGATCCCTCTGCGGGTGCGCCCTACTGAAGCACAGATCCATCGCAGGGGATCTGTGGTAGGGGATCAAGATGAGAGAGCAAGATCCCTGGCCCTGTTGAACGTGCGAACCTTGACCAGTCAGAAGTGTGTGTGTGGGTTCGTTGGCCAGGCTGGTGCAAAAGTGCTCGTGGGACAAAGAGGGGAGGGGGAGGAGGAGGAGGAGGAGGAGGAGGAGGAGGAGGAGGAGGANGCTGAGGAAGGAGAAGAACCAACGGGGCTCCCAATCCTAACCCCCACAGCCGGTTCAGAAGGACATTGCGGTTGACCTATTGAAAGCCGCTGAAAGATCAAGGAACACAAAAGTGGGGCGTCACCCAGTCCTGGCTCTGCCAAAGGTCATCAGCAAGTGTGATGAACGCAGTCTCCACCTGGCCCAAAGCCAGACTGGAGCCGGTCCAGATAATCCATTGGATCTGACACGGAGCTGCTACGGGACCTACAGCTCTGTTGATGGCCCATGTCTACCGTCAGGTCCAGCTTTCACTCCTTCTCTTGTTTCTGAAGATCCCGGGCTACACATTCGCCTTTCTTCCCTGGCGGAAAAGGCCGAGCACCCGCTGGCGGATCTGCTGAGTCTTCATCCCGTACACCAGCGGGTTCAGCATGGGGGGCAACAGGACGTACAGGCTGGCCAGTAGGATGTGGATGTAAGCAGGCACGTTTTTGCCAATCCGGTGGGTGAGGAAGGTGAAGAGGCTAGGCACATAAAAGGCCAAGATGATGCAGGTGTGGGCAGCACAGGTGCCCCGCGCTTTGGCCTGGGCATCTCGTGATGACAGCTGGAAGACGGCATGCAGGATCATAGCGTAGGACGTGGCAATGAACCCCAGGTCCAGCCCCACCACCAAGAGTGCCACAGAAATGCCATAGGTCCGGTTGATAAATGTATCGGCACAGGTGACCAGCTTGACCACAGCCATGTGCTCGCAGTAGGCGTGTTGGATGACCTTATGGAAACAATAGGGCAACCTCTTGAGAAGTACAGGGCCAGGCATGACCAATAAGGCCCCTCGGGCAGCAGCTGCCAGTCCCATCTTGGCAACCACCGCATTGCTGAGGATGGTTGCGTAGTGCAGTGGGTGGCAGATGGCCACGTAGCGGTCCCAGGCCATGGCCAGCAAGATGGCAGAGTCCACTATGGAGAGGGTGTGCACAAAGTACATCTGGAGCAGGCAGGCGCTGAAGCCAATCTCCCTGGAGCCCGCCCACAGGATGCCCAGCATCTTGGGCAGAACGGTGGTGCTGAGGAGCAGGTCGTTCACGGCCAGCATGCAGAGGAAGAGGTACATGGGCTTGTGGAGCTCAGGCTCCATCCTGACGACCAAGACGACGGTGATGTTCCCCACCAAAGTCACCACGTAGACGAGGCAAAGTGGGACGCCGATCCAGAAGTAAAAAGCTTCCAGGCCGGGAATGCCCACCAGTGTGAAGGAGGCCTGGCCCAGGTCTCCCGTTCCGTTGACCGTGGTCATCAGGGCAGGCGTCTCACCCCGCGTGCTCCAAGCGGCCTCTGGGCTGAAGAAAGACGGGGAGGGAAAAGATCAGAAACCTCCGATGGTCACCAAGGTCTGGGCTCCCCGAGGAGCCGCTTGGGACCCCCGTGGCTCAAATCTGCCTCCCTCGCTCATGTTTCGGTTCTTGTGCCCTGACAATCCCTGCCTGGGCTGGCTTTGCCACCCCTCCCCCTTCAGGGCCCAAAATGCTCAAGCGCTCTTCCCATTGTTGCCTCCTGCCCCTGAAACGAGGGAAGGGTCAGGCCTGCCGTCTCCAGCAGGTCTCGCCTCGCTGGCACCCTGCCACAAAATGCAGGTGGTGGGGGGGGGAGGAAGAGGATGGGAAAGGAGGGAATTGGCAGGGGAAGAGAGGGAATGACAGGGTGACAGGAACCAGAGGTGCCAATCTGGAACAAACCAGCCAATGAAGGGCGGACCGTGAGATCGGAACGCGAAATTCCAACAAAGAGGCACCACACCTCAAAGTCGTTCCCCTCTGAAGCACTGGTGGACCGGTCAAGGGGGGGGGAGCCCAGGGAAGTGGGAAAAACGCTGGTTTTGCACGGGAATATTCAGATCCAGCTTTGCTTCTGCTGTAACCACTTAAGCTTAATAAAAGTGAACCTTTCACTTCAGCAATGGAGTCGAGGGTCTTTCTTTCCTAAATGCCCCAGTCGGGGCAAGACTGGCAGGGGGACCCCGGACCCCCCCCCAAAGACGCAGAGCGCCCACAGAAGTATATCTTCCCTGATCCCTTGGAGACGAGACTCCTTGAAGCCTCAGAGGTCCAAAGGAAGAACTGGGAGGACCTCTCAAAGTCAAACGCCCAGCCCAGGAGGGAAACGGCCCTGGCAGGAGCCTCCAGAGGCTGGTCCTACTGCTCTCTGACAACCTTCCAGTCTCTTCTGTGGTCAGATAAGCTGCCCCTGGCTTGTGAAGCTCTAACGTCTCCCTTCCTTCCTTTCCTCTTAGCAAGGTTTTCCAGCGTGAGGAAACAGCTCTCCCCCACCAGGTGGGATCCCAGTTGGCTGGACGCCCACTGCCCATGCATGGTCCTTACTGTCCAGAGGGAGGGAGCCCTGCAGTGGGTACCTCGGTTTTGGGCCCCCAACCCTTCAACATTTTCTTAGAGGAGGGAATAGAAGGGAGGTGTACAGAATTAGCGGATGACACACATTTTTTGGGGAGGGGGGATGGCTTGCACCCCAAGATGCAGGCCCAAGGTTCACAAAAGTTTTGATGGACTTGAACATAACAACGAGATGCTGTTCAGTGATCAGGAATGTAACTGGCTGCACTTAGGAAAAACTCGATGCAGGATAGGTGGTGCCTGGCTTACCAGTGGTCCTTATAATAAAAATAATAAAGTTGGAAGGGATCTTGGAGGTCATCTAGTCCAACCCCCTGCTCAGGCAGGAAACCCTACACCATTTCAGACAAATGGCTGTCCAGTCACTTCTTAAAAACTTCCAGTGTTGGAGCGTTCACCGCTTCTGGAGGCAGGTTGTTCCACTGGTTAATTCTTCTAACTGTCAGGAAGTTTCTCCTTAGTTCCAGGTTGCTTCTCTCCTTGGTTAGTTTCCATCCATTGTGGAGTTGGTCTAGTCTGGGTAGATTAAACAAGGCCCAGCAGTAGGTGAAAGGAAAACACAGCCTCCTTTGGAATATTTAGGAGCATTTAGGAAAGAAAAGCCAAATGTACAAGTATAGAATAGGTGGTACCTGGCTCAACAGTAGTAATTGTGAGAAAGATCTTGGAGTCCTAGCAGACAATCACTTAAATATGAGCCCGCAGTGGACAGCAGCTGCCAAAAAGGCCAACACACTGTATTAACAGAGGGAGAGAAGTAAGATCATGTGAAGTTCTAGTACCACTTTACAAACCCTTAGTAAGTCCACACTTGGAATACTGTGTCCAGTTCTGGTCACCACAATATAAAAAAGACGTTGAGACTCTAGAAAGAGTGCAGAGAAGAGCAATCAGGAGGATCAGGGGTCTAGAGGCTAAAACATATAAAGAACGGTTGCTGGAATTGGGTATGTCTGGTTTAATGAAGAGAAGGACGAGGGGGACATGACAGCAATCTTCCAGTATCTCAGGGGCTGCCCCAAAGAAGAGGGAGTCAAGCTATTCTCCAAAGCCCCTGAAGAAGGCAGGACAAGAAGCAACGGATGGAAACTAATCAAGGAGAGAAGCAACCTAGAACTAAGGAGACATTTCCTGACAGTGAGAACAATTAATAGGTGGAATGGCTTGCCACCAGAAGTTGTGGGTGCTCCAACACTGGGGGTTTTTAAGAAGAGATTAGGCAACCATTTGCCTGAAATAATATAGGGTCTCCTGCTTGAGCAGGGTTGGGCTAGAAGACCCCCACCCCAAGCTCCCTTCCAACTCAGTTATTTTGTTGTTTTATTATTCTGCGATTCCACCTTGTTCCAGTTCAGCAAGAAGGAGGCTGTGGTCTACTTGATCAAATGCCTCATGAAGTCCATGTACATCCCATCCACAGCATTGCCTTGGTCCACTAACTTAATCCCACTGTCAAAAAGAAGCTGTAAAATTTGTCTGGCATGACCTTTTTAAAACAAGTCATGCTGGTTTTGCAAATTGCACTGTTCATGTTTATTTTCTTTGCCCTGCAAAGATTTCAGTCAATGGCCCTGCCAGTTCTCGAACACTTTGGGGTGTGAGCCCCCTGACCCAGGAGCCCTGAATTCATTCAAGGACACTAAGCGCCCTCTGACCATTCCTTACCTGGTTTGATCTGTGTTTCTCTAGCTATGTATGATCTTCTGCACTGCCACAGCTTCGCATCTCCCAGGGCTTTGCAAAGAAATGGGTGGAACAGGACCTGGTCTTTTGTGGTGGTCCTTTCGCCCTTCAATTTGTGGAGTTGGCTTGGATGTCTTTGGAAAGGAGAAGGATGGCTGGGCAGGCAAGGGAGACAGCTTGATGGCCAACTTCAGAGGTTGGTCACAAGTCTCTCCGTCCAGCTCA